AAGACACCCAATCAGCTTTCATGTCTAAGGCAGGACTAGAACTCACCATCTCCTGGTGATTGGCCCAAAGACACCCAATCAGCTTTCATGCCTAAGGCAGGACTAGAACTCACAGTCTCCTGGTTTCTAGGCCAGCACCTTAACTACTACCGCAAACTGACTCTTTTAATTAGTTCCAATAACTTGACCAGAAAACCATCCGCCTTCTTTCCAATTCAGCTGCACATTTCCCCCCACACTTCCGCTTGGATTTCTTCTTGGTACCTTTTTCATTGGGGGCCCTCTTCCTTTTGCTTGGTCTCCTCTTCTCCCGGGCTTCTCCATCATCCGCCTCAGTCCCTAACTCCGGTCGTACCACTTGTGACCCTCAGGGGCTGCTGGTCTCCAGGTTCAGTTAAGTGCCCCAACTGAACCTTCGTGACATCACAAAGACCCCAAGCCTTGGCAACCGCAAACACAACAAAGAGCAGTAGAGGCAAGCTTTAGTCCTGCTCGCAGCCCTCAAGTGACTTCTCTGTAAGTTGGCCAAGCCACGATTTTGGGTAAAGACAGCATTTTGTGGCACCCCATGTTTATTTGGTCCTTACAGTTAAGTCCTCGGTTTACCACAGTTCATTGAATGACTGTTCAAAGTTACAGCAGCGTGGGGGAAAAAAGGTCAATCGATCGATCAATTAGAATAGAACTGGAAGGGACCTTGGAGGTCTTCTAGTCCAACCCCTTATACCCGTGATGGCGAACCTATGGCACGTGTGCCACAAGTGGCACGCAGAACCATTTGTGCCGGCATAGGAGCCGCAGGCAAACTTACCTTACTGCGCATACACTGCGCCTCATAGCTGATTTTTTGAGGGGGTTGGTTTGAGGCCTTTTTCGGTCTCCCAGAGGCTTGGAAAAAGCCTCTGCAAGGCTTTTCAGGACGAATAATAGGCCTGTTTCGTCACTTCCTGTAATACTGGAAGTGACGAAATGGGCCTATAATTCAGCCTAGCGCACGTGCAATTGTTTTGCACAGGAGCCCCAAAAGGTTAGCCACCACTGCCCTATACCATTTCAGATAGGTAGCTATACGGTTTTATACCCCGAAAGGGGGGGGGGGTTTGGGGGGGGGGGGGGCAGAAAGATGATTTGCAGGGGATATTCGACCAAGTGGGGGATTTATGGAGCGTGGTGCCAACAAACCCGTGCATCAAAGACCAGCGCATTCGCGGTTGTGAGGTAAAACAGAAGGAACGGCGGCGAGATAAAAGTTTCCGATGAACAATTAGGTGTTCTTTGATACGGTCAGTTCTCGACTCATGACCACCGAGTTCCAAATGAGCCTCTCTGGGGTAAGTCTCGTCGCGGATTCAGTTCCCACGTCCGTCCCACGTCCCCGCAGCTATGGCGTGGGCAAACGCCTCGCATTTACAGCCGTACGCAGTGTCCCATGGTCGTAGGACTCTGTCCGTTTTGCAGAGAAAAAAAATGGCATTTGCTTCCAGGTTTTGGTAAAAAAAAAAAACTTGCTTACGGGGAATCTTTGGTTTGCTTAACAGCCGTGGTGTTTTCTTTACGACCGACCACTGCAATTCGTTTTACAACCTCCGCAGAGAAGGTCATAAAATCAGGCCAGGCGATGGGTGGGTGGGTGGGTTGGTTTTCAATTAATCGGAATAGAGCCAGAAGGTGGGACCTTGGAGGTCTTCTAGTCCAACCTCCTCTACCATTTGAGACAAATGACTGTCCACTCTCTTGTTAAAAAACCCCAGTGTTGGAGGATTCACAATTTCTGGTGGCAAGCAGTTCCACTGGTTGATTGTCCTCACTGTCAGAAAGTTTCTCCTTAATTCCAGGTTGCTTCTCTTCTTGATTACTTTCTATCTGTTGCTTCTTGTCCTGCCTTCAGGTGCTTTGGAAAATGGGGTGACACCCCCCCCCCTGCTATTTTGCAGCCACCCCTCAACTGGGTAAGCCCACTTGGGTTACCTGATTTATGATTGTCACGACTTATAACCATGATGGGCAGGTTCCATTACGGTCATGACTTGAGATCTTCCTGTAGAATTTTCTGCTTATGTTATCGTATCAAAATCACAATGATGGCCAAGTGTTCTGACCCAAACCTGGTTCCAAGGAAGCAAACACGAGACAAAGGTAACAGCACCAACTTTTAACGTTTCTTTACGAATCCCGCTCTTTCACGGGTCAAACCAATTAGCTCCGATAAGGAAGAGCCTGGCCAAGGTTCTGCAAGGCTGCCAAGAACACCAGATAAAGTTCCAACGCAAAGAATCTCCACACACCAACTAAGAGAGTCCGAACGTCCACAAGGCTTGAGTGCAAAAACTTCTTTGCTTCCTGCAAAGAACTCCGGTTTCTCAGCTGGCTTTTATCTTCTCAGGCAGGGGCCGTTACCTTGCAGCCTTACTCCCGAGTTGCCCGTGCTTCTGCAGATGCTCTTTCCTTCGAGCAGCCCTGTGTGCACGCACACTTGGCACAGGCTCCTCGGGGGCCTCTTCCTCACTGCTGCCAGCCTCCACAACCTCCGAAGGCAGCACTCCACTCCCTGATGGTCCTGGCCCCATCCCTGCATCACACGCAGGCCCCTCATCTGAGTCCTCGCTCTCCGAGACCTCAGCCATCCGCACCTGCTGCCGACAAACCACAACACCAAGAAGCTAGAAAATCACACATAAGAGTTTAAAAAAACCAGTCCTGATGTACAGATAGTTCTTGACTTACAACCATTCATTTAGTGATGGTTCAATGTTACAACGGTACTGAAAACAGCAACTTATGGCCGTTTTTCACACTTACGACCCACTGTAGCTTCCCCATGGTCACGTGATCAAACTTGGCAGCTGACTCGTATTGATGACGGTTTGCAGCGTCACAGGATCACGTGATCGCCCTTCGCCATCGTCTGCCATGCAAAGTCAAAGGGGAAAGACAGATTCACTTAACAACGGTGTGGCTCATTTAGCGACCGCGGTGATTCGCTTCACAACTGTGGCGTAAAAAGTCGTAAAACGGGGGCCAGAATTTGCTTACCAACCTTGTTGCTTAATAAACCAAAATATTGGGCTCCATTGTGGCCGTAAAATTCGAGAACTACCCTGCACTTAGAAATATTCAGTGACATCTTGAAGATCAAATGCCTCTTGGGGAAAAAAAAATATATAACAGGATGAATATTTGAATTATCTGATTTTTAATGATCGCAGCCTGAGCCTACGCTCTGATATTCGCCGGGGATCTGGGAGAAAAAAAATCATTGGGAAAAAAAACACCACATCATACCAAGAAGAGGGATGCAATTGTGTTTCGGGCCGGCCTTGTGTCTTTTACACAAATGATAATAAATTGTGGAATGGATGCGACAGTCAAAAAGGCTGCGCAGAGATTAAACAGAATAAGACCATCTCTATCCAGCTTCTAATAATTCACCTGCCTCCGAGATCAACTTTGGTGTGGGGTAGTTTATTTTGTCATCAATCTGCGGCCGGTCAGTCGGTCAGAAAAATGGAAAATGAAAATCTTGTTTTGAGTTGCCATCACGCAACCACACAACCTCCAGCCCGCCCCGACTTCTGGATTTAGCAAGGAGGGAGAGGGGCTCATCCGACGACAATCACAGCCGGGTGGCTTCAGCGCCCCGTAAAATCGATCGGGGGATGCGATCAGACGCAAGGCGGATATAGGGCGGTGGGCGGATGGACGGGTCTCCCGTTTGAGATGATGAATTTTCCGTCTGACCCCCCCCCCCTCCACCCTCTGTTCTGAGGCTAACGCAGCCCAGCGTCTCATAGAGAGAGTAATTCATCCCTCTTCGGCCTAATCAATAATGATGAACACAACAGTTGTAAAGATCGATCGCAATTTTTTCTCATTTTAAAGCGCGGAGGCACCTTTTTTGGACACAAAAGCAATATTCTTTGCATACCGTCTGGGTTGGTTCTTTCTTTCTTTCTTTCTTTCTTTCTTTCTTTCTTTCTTTCTTTCTTTCTTTCTTTCTTTCTTTCTTTCTTTCTTTCTTTCT